CCCCCCCCCCCCCCCCCCAAAGTACCGTGATTTGATTATCCCTCGCAGGGTTTTTCGATCAAGTAAACATGTTGGAAGTTCGGTTAGGGTTAGGGAATAGGGTCTGCGTCCCCCCTCCCAGTTCTATTTCATCATACATGAACTTGTTTGTCTCAGGAAGGCGGTCCCGTGGTTTTCGTTTCGTACCTCGTGCCGGGGTTAAAAGCCATTTCAGTGGGAGGGAAAAAAACGTCCGTCGACTTCTGAAGCACTCAGATTCCGAGACCCCGTCCCGCAAGAAATGTTTGGTCGTTGGTCTTTCTTTCATTTGCTCATTTCTATGGCGACGCGCAAGACAAGGCAGGGTCTTCGAAGCGGAAACCTTTCGACGCTCATGCGTTAAAGGTGCTGACCCTGTGTTCTGTTCCTCGATTGCTCGTATGTATCATTCGCGTCAACAAATCGATTGGCGAAATGGCCATCCTGGCGACCTACACCTCCTAACCCTGTTAGTCAGTCGTTCTCTATGTACTTAACAATTCGCGTCAACAAATCGATTCACGAACAGGGTATCCTGGCCACCTACACGGCTGTGGGTATCCTCGAGTACTGGGACCTGTCGATGCAGCTCTTCAACGCGCGAGTGACATCACCGGTATGGGATTGGGAGGACATGGAGCATTCCAACAGGGGGCAGCGATCCGGATTGCGCGACGAGGTAGACCCTGACTCTAACCCTCACCCTAACCCTACTCACTTACCCTAACCCTAACCCTACTCACTAACCCTAACCCTAACCCTACTCACTAACCCTAACCCTAACCCTAACCCTAACCCTAACCCTAACCCTAACCCTAACTACTTTAGAACTTTAAGCCCTTGGCACTACTATGCCGCGTTATACTGTACAGGAACCTGCTACTGGCAACAACATCTACTATTACACCAGTATTACAGCAGGTTCTACCTGGTATTATATTAGTACATTTTTTACAACACGAAAATGTTGCAACTCTCAGGAGGGTAGGTTGGTCCGCGGCAACTAAATAGCTGTCCGAGGTGAAAGCTGCCGTACGTTAAACTTAATTGAGTGGGAAAACTTGACCTTCATCCTGAATCCTAGATACCCTTTCTAACAACGTTTTAACCGTGGTTCTTACTCGACCCTATGGTATTGGTATCCGTCCTGCTCAGGGATAGGGGGGCAAGTGAAGCATGGCATATTTTGTCGAGGAAAAGGTGGACACCCTGTACAAATTCTCCGCATGCCGTTTGTTTGGTTTGATAGATACTTGTTCAGAATCGTGTGCAAATATCTCTTTCCAGACAAATACTTTCGGCACAAGAATGCGGTGCAAATATTTGTGTCTAGACCAATACCCTCGGCAGAATCATGCGCAAGTATTTGTTTCCGAGCAAATAGCGGGTTAGTAGCGGCCGCGCGCAAATACCATTAACATTTATACAGCAGTACAGGATGTGAAAAGGTGAAAGGAAGTCTCGAACGGATGGATACAAGGCCTGCAGGTTGTTGCTTGAGTCAGTAGTTCGTGCTTATAACAGTAGTTCGTGCTATACCCCGGCGAACACCTCTACAGTAACAGTCTCGAACTGCTTGAATTGGCGACAAGCAAGAGCAGCATAGGAATCAGCAGCTGCTATTTATATCAATCATGGCGCCCCCAAATCTTAAAAAACAAGGGAGTACAGAACAAAACACACGAAACACACCCACTCACCCATTTGTTGTGTGTTGTTAGTGTCATCACGATGGGGTTTTCAGCGTTTCATGAAATTCTGACGGTTCGACCGTTCATCAGTCTACGTGTTTATATCGTCGTAGGAACCAGCAGCTGCTATGTTAACATCAGGATGGGTTTGCTAGTGCTCTATGGTATTTTTTCTGACAGTTTCGCCTTGTTCTCGTCTGGCTGTTTTTTTTTTTTTTTTTTCCACGATGATGTCTAGGTCCACCGATGGGCTCACATGAGCCCTGAGATACACCGCATCATGGCGACCGATATGCTCCTCTACGACTACTCCGTCTCGGTGTTCAAGCTACAGACATCAGCCTCGTTAGGCACGTTGTGGGAGTAAGGGGTAAGAAGGACACGCACCTAGAATGGATGGTCTCGGTGTTAAAGCTGTAGACATCGTCAGGCAAGCTAGAAGTTATGTCGATTTTGTTGTGGTTTTCTGGTCGGTTGTGAGGGGAAGGGTGGGTTGTTGTAGTTGGTAGGGAGAAAGAGGGAAAAAATCTCAGTGGGGGTGGCGTGGTTTGGGAGAGACCGAACCACGCTCCGCCCCTTTCGCGTGTTTTTGTCGTTGCTGTGGGTGATGGTTATAGTAATGTTTAATTTTTGTGATGGGCTGGTTGGTTGTTGCCACGCGAAGGGATAAGACACGTCCGGCCGGCCGGGTTCACTGCAGATGTGGCGCGTGTGCTAGGCTGTAGGTAGGCGAGACCGATAGGAAAGAAGCTGGCCGGAGCACTCGCTGGTGGGAGGGCGCGAGAGACTTGTGCACACCAACATAATGCCAGAAGCAGGAAAATGGAGCTAAAATAGCTTGCTTGGGGCAAGAGGAGAAATTCTTTTGGTTTGGGCAGCAGGCCTTTGGTTGCCCCGTTGGGGCGTTTTTTGGGGGAGGGGGAGTTTTTATTTTATGCTCGTGCAAGCATGTATGTGCTTGCTGCTCGACGCGAACAGATTTGGCTAATTGGCGCTGAGCCGTGTCGTGCCGACTGGATCGAAGTTATATCTCGGTGTCTTTGCAGTCCTGGCCGAGACACCGCCGCCGACAAGAGGAGGGAGGGGGGTCCGGCGGATGATAGGTCTGTGTTTGACCCCCGCCGGAGCCCTATCATACAGTGCTATCGATTGCGCAGCCTAGATTATTTATTGTTGCGATTTGCGTCATTGCCCGTCATAGCGGGTACATACAGCAGTACGATGTTGCTTGCAGGTTAGGCCTCTCTCTCTCGTGCTTTCCCCCCCTATTTTCCTTGTCCTTGGCCTTGTACTTGACCGTGTTGGGTGTGGTTGTGTCGTGTCCCACTCGAGTTATTATCGTCGGAAAGGTTTTGCGTGTTTTCCCCGTGATTTGTGTCTTTATTTGCCGTGCTTCGCTCGCCATGATTTTGTGCGCAAGCATGCTACTACTTACTGCAGTCGTTTTCTGTTGCTTTTCCCCTTCCTTGTCGGCAGCATATCGTTGTGGTCCATTGTCGTACTGCTCTGCTGCTGTCATTGTGTCCTTCTTTCTTGGTGTTGTTGGTGCGTATGACCAAAGGGGCGGCCATGTACAACCCTTGACGGGCGTCATCCACTCAAGTGCGAATTTTCAGTGGTCGTTTCACTTCACAGGTGGTATGTATGGATGCAAACGGCATGAATAAGAGTAGTGACCAATGCCGGCCCTGTCGCAGACAGCCACGGGTACCTCAAGCGGCAGTGCGGTGTATATATATCGTGTCTTTCTGCTTGGTCGTGTGTCACGGAGAGTGTTCGGGCTGGTCGAATAAATCCCCCAGCACGCGTGCTGGTAGATATCATACCACGTGTCGTTTTTAACGTCAGCCGCATGCGGGCCTTCTTCATGCCAAGGACAGAGAGAGCTTGTGCGATGAATGAAACACATTCACGTTTTAAAGCTGTTTCGCGTACTGTCGGAGGTTCGATCTGCCTTGCTTTCGAAAAGCTACCGACGACGGGATTGATTCACTAGGCCGTATATATAGGTGTTCGTTCATTGTGCTTCGCGAAGCGGCTGGGCATGTCTGAAGCCTTCATATATGTCCGACCGCTGGTTATCGTTGGGGCGGCTTGCGCGCCTCGACGCACCCCCCCAAATTCGTCGTATGTAGGTCGAACAAGCATGGCAGCAGTAGCGTCCTCCTAGGGGCCCCGGTTCGGAATGCTTTCTGGACGTATGTATGCATACGCGTTCAGACGGGGTCACACAGGAGGAAGGTCACGCAGACAGCGTAGGCACACATTTGTGTGTGTTTTTACTATTAGCATCGACCGCGCTAACCGGCTGACCAATGAAAAGACGTCAGTCTCAGTGCGGTTGAAAACACAAAACTCTTCTAAATGCCATTAACTGGGACCCCGTGAGGGGGCGGCATTTGTGTGTGTGTTGTTGTTGTTTGTTGTTGTCTTCACATTAAAAACTGTTCCGATATTTCTCTGCCCAGTACCTTCTTCCGTCCGTACTCGTCTACCTCGTACAAGTGGTCGATTCCCGCAGTAGTTTGTGTGTGGAATGAACGCACTTACTAGAAACACAACCGATTGGGCCAACCCCTGCCCTAAAAAATTCACACGTATGCCCCCCAATCTCCTGCCAGTAGAGCGCCCAGAAGGAGCCTAGTCTCCTGATGAATGCCGAAGGGAGGGCCAGAGCAGCCGCAGCAACAGCATGAAAATGTCCTACACAATCTACCCCCCAATCATAGGACAAAACGTTGCACAGCCTGTCAAGAAAAAAAATCCACAACCACCTACACCAGAAAATAAAACTTAGCAGAAAAGAAAATACTCGACACCAAAAGAGCAGAAGCCAAGTCCAACATGGCCACAGACCAAACGAGTGCTCCTGATTAGGCCGACCATAACATCAACCAATCTTATAGAGCACGAGACAGAAAATATGAAGAGCTCTTGAGGGGAGCAAGAGCAACATAGCAGCACATAACAAACCCTCGGTCCCACAAAATGGCGCAGCACAGGCCAGCGCCAACGATGACAACGCCCGCAAAATAGCAAACAAATAAAAAAAACATTCTCACCCAACGCTTAACATCGGAACACAGTAGTCACAGCACCAAATTGAACACATACGCTCGGCTTCTTGTCACCGGTTATCACACTACCGTGAATGTATCGATCCGCGAAAAACAGCAAACAGGCGATGCAAAAAAAATTGCACAGCATCAGGGTTTCAGGCAGAGCCCGGTCCACGAGGCAGGTTCCCGTCCCCCGCCCAGCCCGACTCAAGCTCCTACCGTTATCAACAAACGCCACGCGCAGGTGGAAGGTGCACACTCGCGCTTGCTAGCTAGCGGGCGCGGTTCCTCTGCGCTTCGAACCTGCGAGCGTTGCGCTCCTTCCGAGAGAGGAAGTCGTTCTCCTTGAACGCCGGCGGGATGTCGAATTTCTTCCCTCTGCGCGGCTCCCGCTGTGCTCGTTGGCCGAGGTCGCCCCGCACCTCTTGTTGCGAACCGTTGGGTGTTCCCCCGCCTCCTCCTGCTTTTCGGGGTCCCCGTTGAGTGGCATCGCCGTCGTGTTCTTTCTTCGCCGCTGGCGAGCGCTGAGACAACGGCGACGGCGGTAGCGTTCGAACCCGGTCCTTCTCAGCCGGTGCCGCTGTTGCTGGCGGCGGTGGAGTTGCGGGCGGTGTCTTGCCAATCGCAGCTACCCCGTTGCCCGTGAGAACCGTCTTTGTCCTCTTCGTTGGCGACAATTCGTTCACATTCCCTTCTGCTGCTTTCGCGGTCTTCCCCGCGCCGGCAACAGTGCTTGTAGCAGCCGGGGCCGTTTCCGCCGCCGCCTTCAACGCCGCCGGGGGTAGCGCCGAGGCAGGCTGATCATCGTCGTCACCCTTAACGTCCTTGCTGGCGGGTATTGCCGTCGGTCGTAGCACGTCTTTCGTGGCGGTGGTAGCGGCGGCGGTCGTTTGTGGAGGAGCCGCAGCTTGGGCGGGTGTCGCTACTGCTGCCTCCGTGGTGCCACCACCACCACCACCACCACCACCATCACCATCATTTCGCGAGGCGTCCTTCCCAGCCCGGATGGTTGTCGTCGATGGCGAGACCGTCGTCTTCTTCGTCTTCTTGGCCTCCGCAGCGGCACTACCATCTGTCGTGCTTTTCGGAGAAGCAGCAGCAGCAGCAGCAGGGCCAGCAGCAATCGAGGGAGCAGTACGAGCCACACCGACAACAGCCGTAGCACCGCGGTCACCCGGCCCCGATACCTTGCCGTTGCCGACGGCGGACGCCGGCGAAACTGATCCTGCTGCGCCCCCGGTCTCCCCTGCTTTTCTGACCGCAGTCAGCGGCAGAGAACGTCCGGCTGTGGGGGTGGGGGTAACGGCAGCAGGCGAGGCAGCTGCCGGAGTTGCGCTGTTGCTGGTGACGGGTGCTGCTGCTTCACCCCGGGCGGTGTTGGTCTGGTCCCCCGAGTCCGTCCTGGCCCTCTTGCGATCTCGGCAATCGCTCGCTTCGGCCGCTGGCCTACCTGGACGGGGTTTGGCGGCGATTGTCGGCTGAGGAGAAGGAGCAGCAGCAGCAGCGGCAGCAGCGCCTGAGACAGCCGTGGCTGGTTTCGACGAAGCCTTGGCCCCTGCTGGCTGCGATGCACCAGCCCCTTGGGTGGTAGTGCTCTCGGCTGGCTTTGCGGCGACGGCGGCGCTACTACTCGCGGTTGGCGCTGTTGCTGCCGCTAATGCTGCTGCCGCCGCCGCCACCACGTTCGAAGAATCGGCCCACACGCTGTCTGCCTTTTCCATCGCGGCCCTGCCAGCACCAACACTGGGACTGCCACCTGCGACACCTTGGGTTGCGGATCCATCAACAAAGCCAACACTGGGACCGTTACCGGAGACACCGATCACTGTTTGCGCAGCGGCCCCGTCAACAACACCGCCGACGTCGCCGTCGCTTCTCGCTGCGGCGGGGCTAGATTCATCGTCTACGTCCATGGCTGCGAGGCCGCCTGCGGCGGGTCTTGTTCGTTGCGCGTCGTCGGCAACACCGCCTGCTGCAGCACCACCAACAGCAGCAGGAGCCGCAGCAGCAGGAGCAGGAGCAAGAGCAGCAGCAGGAGAAGGAGCAAGAGCAGCAGGAGGAGAAGGAGCAGGGGCAGCAGCAGGAGGAGAAGGAGCAGTGGCAGCAGCAGGAGAAGGAGCAGTGGCAGCAGCAGGAGAAGGAGCAGGGGCAGCAGCAGTAGCAGCAGTAGCAGCAGTAGCAACAGTAGCAGCAGTAGCAGCAGTAGCAGCAGGAGCAGGGGCAGCAGGAGCAGCAGTAGTTTTACTGATGTCGGGCCCCGCCTCCGCCGCCGCCGGAACGCCTTCCCTAGACACAACACTCTCCGTGGAAGGGGCGACCGGGGTCACCATAGGAGCTTGCTCCTGCCCCGGGGCTGATGCACTTACCACAGGCGGCGGTGGTGAAGCCGCCGCCGAAGGCACCGGTGTCGCGGGCGTCGCAGCCGTGGGCGCCGCAACGCCTCCTTCCGCCGCCGCCGCCGCAGCTGGCGGCGGCCGCGGTGGCGGCGGCGGTGGCGGCAGCTCACCACCCGGCTCGCTCCCATCCCCGCCATCGTCGCCTGTTCCGGCGGCCACCGTGCCCTTTTTCGCAGTGGCGTTGTTGTCAGCATCAACCCCCGTGGTAGCGCTACCGCTACCGCCGTTGCTTGTGGCATCGGACACCGCACTATCACTGCCCCCGCCTCTGCCTCCGCCGCCTCCGCCGCTGCCACTGCCGCCGCCGCTATCCGCGGCACCACCGCCATCTCCGCCGCGGGACACAGAACCCTCGTCATGCGCGGCCGACTTCGCCCCCCGCCACATGTTCTCCAGCTTCCGCCAGGTCGCCCTCAGGTGGTCCCACTCCCCCTCTCCCTCCTCTTCCTCCTCCTCCTCCTCCTCCTCCCTGCTGCCGGCTTGATCGCCATCGGCCTTTTTCGACTTCTGGGCGTTGGGCTTCATCAACGCCCACGAGTACTTGAGCAGCTCCTCCAGCCGGTCGGGGTCCACGCCCCACGCGGTAGCGTACTTCCCGAGCCGCGCCTGGCGTCGGCGCATGAACACGGTGGACACGAGGCGGGGGACATTAATCAAAAGGGGTGTGTGCGTGGATGTGCAAGGAAGAGAGCTTCAGCTGCTATGCTGCCGAATACGATACAAGGGAGAGAGCTGGAGGGAGGAAGACGTGCGGGGCTCGTAGCAGTAGCCGTGTGTCTTCCGGATGATGCTCAGCTGTCACCAGACAAATCGTCCCCCGGTTGCATCCGGGAAGATGCGCATGTACAATATACTTTCGGGGAAGTTGCTTCAGGACTCGCACAACTACTAAACAGGTCAGCCGCTTGGGGTCTTGGCTTCATGACCGTGCAACGGCGAGACACTTGTGCGACAGTTGTGCACGATACAAGCAGACGAAGCCGTACGAAAACACACCGCCGAATGCTTCTGAAGAACCACCCAAGCAACGGCACACCACACAACGACGCACGCATGTTCACGCAAACACCACCATGTGGCGGTGCCACGTTGTTGTTGTCTTCACATGTCACCGCACCAATCATCGAGGAGGACAAGAGTCGACGGAGACAAACTAAGAAAGCACCAGCAAAAAACAAAAACGAGGGACAGGCAAGGCAACATAAGCACTCACATCCCCTTCTCGCTGCTCGTTGCACAAGGCGGGCCGAAACAGGTTCGTGCCTCTTGCGGGGTCCCATCCACATTTTAGGCACGCCAGGATTGCTTGCGCCACCGCTAGACACATGTGATCTGGAGGGTTTCCCTGAGAGAAGCAAGCGGAGGGTACAGCAGGGGTCCAACATTAACATCAAACGTCAAAATGTTTTACTTTTCATCGCGGTTGCGGAACAGGACACGTTTGCTTGTTGGGCGGCAGTGGCGACTCATCAAAATGACAATATCAGGGAAATAAAATCAGAACGTTTATAATTGTCGGGTTGATTCGTTCCCCTGCTTGATCGCGACGGGCGACGCTGACGCAAAAAACAGTGGGATGCGGAAAAACAACACTTCGGGCACTAACAATAGTAGAGAGGGGGCGAGAGGGAGAAAAAACGTTTCTGACCAATTAGACCTTGTCCACCCAGAGAGAGAGAGAGAGAGAGAGAGAGAGAGAGAGGCCAGTCTAGGTGTGTAAACAAACTTGGAAGAGCAAAAAAAAAAAAAATGCCTACTTCAAGCAACAACCAACAAGAGGGTTAAAAACAGACTATAGACTAGTCCTATCCGGCCGTTTATTCCCCCACTCACTGCTAAGACTTCATTACAGGTCGTTCGACTGTGGTATTATCTCGAACGGGTAGTCATTGTGTGTCTCGATGTACCTGGTATTATATCACTTAACAAAAAGAGACGGGGAGCAAAAAAAAAAATACTCACCAGGCCCGTCGCCACCGAGTGCCGAAACGCCTCGAGGTTGTCTCCGTACCCCGGAAAACCGGTGAGGTTGTCCGTCCCCACGGCAAACTCCACCTTTGACTGACCCATCACGTCTACGACCAGCCCCCCCGGGGACGCCACGGCACCATCCCCTCCGTTTGCTTCCGCCGGAGAAGATGCGGCGGAATTAGCGGCGGCGCACACGACCCCGGGGCACCAGACATCGTCGTCTTCGACAGCTTGACCGTCCATGTAGGCCACGAACGCTGTAAGTTTGGAAGGGGGGGTTGTTGGGTCATGAGCATGTGGTGTGAATGTAGCGGGGTGGATATGTTGTGATCTGTTTGGAGAGACGGGAGGAGATGGATGACGCATGGGTTGATTGCTGCCGATTCGGCCTTGAGGTAATGGTTGGTTGTATGTCGCATTTGAAATACAACAAAGCAGGAGAAACACTCCATATTCCCACCCCACATTTCCGCTTGCTCCCGTGAATGAGAGAGGCGGTCGGAATCATGTGTAGAGACCAAATGGTTTGGCCGTTTTCGGTGGGGGTGTGGGGTGACATGTCAAGGTTGTCCTCATTCTCATCCTCGCTCCGCTAATCTACGCCAATTCTCATCGCCTGTTGGTTGTGTTCTTCTATCCTCTCTTTTACTCTCTCTCTCTCTTTCTCTCTCTCTGGCTTTTCTGTCTGTCTGTCTGTCTGTCTCACGCACCCACCCACTCACAAGCTCTCTCTACCTCTTCCTCTTACCCCCTCGGACCCAGACGACCTGGCCCTCGTTATAGCACGCGTCACCAAACTTGTGCCCTCCGCCGCCGACATTCTCCTCCTCCTCTTCCTCCTCCGTGCCAACCTCCGCCTTCACCTTCACCTTCGCTGCTGCCGCTGACGCCGCCGCCTCCACCGCTAGCGTGGGAAGCTCGTAGGTATACGAGAGGCACCCGTTCAACGGAAGGAGTCCTTCTCGAGACGCCGCTTTCAGCTGGCTCGAAAGCTGTTTAGGGATGGGGGGGGGCACGCGCGGAACTTCTGTTGTCAGGGACTATAATAGAATGGTGTTGAGATATGTCATGCGCCTAGCTAGAAGCCACAAGCGCGCTATTGCGAGATATCATGCGCGTGGTTAGAAACTAGCGTGATTTGTGTGAGATATCATGGGGGCGTAGTTACAACACTGCTGTGGGTGTGGCTCTTCGACTGTCGTGTGCGCAAGAGCCAAGGTTAAGGATAACCTCACCTGCGACTTGGTCATTCCTGGCAGAACTTCCACTCCCCAACATCGCACCAATCGGCGTATCTCGCCCTCCACTCCGCCAGAGCTAGGTCTGTGAAGCAGGCAAACACCGCCCTGTGGCCGAGAGAGGTGCAAACATATCAGAGGCGAACACACACAAAAAAAAAAATCAGCTGGCATCACAGCTACCAATTCAGTGTTAGGCTTAAAAGGACTCAAAATAAACGCAGCACCCATGCAGTTTTTTTCCCCCATCCACTGCTCATTAAGACTTGAATCCATCCCATTCGAATGGGTACTCAGTCTCTCTTTGATTGTATGTATATTTTCTAAAAATCAGGCTTACGTCATTTCTGCAATCTCTATTAGGAAGCATTGGTACCAGGGGGAACGCAAAAAATGACAAAAAACAAGACAACAAAAGAACGTCTCCCCGAAAACAATTCACGCAGTAAAAGACAAATCAAGCAACCCTCCCACCCGCCCACCGCCTACGACACGCCTCTTTCTGTGCTCGGTGTTCTCTGCGGTTCTTCACCCTAGTGTTTCTGGTGCTTGAACATATAGCAGCAGCGAACATCTTGACCAGCTCCTGCTTCCAACACAGAACAGCGAACCTTTCCACCTGCTTCAATCTCTTGACCGAATCACCCCGCACCCAATCCGTTCGCACCCGAAATTAATACACCCGCGACTGTACATGACAGCGCTCAAGGTTTGACCTCGGTACGCTCACTACGTAGACGCGCACGATTGTCGTCGGCTGTAGGGGTTGATGTACAGTTTGTGCCGTATGGAACAGGAATGGAACGCTTTTGTTTCTCCGCCTGCATGAGGTCGTGGCCGAAGTCTTCTCTTTTTGCACCCCAGATGGGCGCCCACCGCTAGTACGCACCAATAGAGTATTGAGATATTAAGGAAGTGGGGGGGGGGGGGGGGGGGGGGGGGGCTT